TCTGAGGGCCCTGGTCCTCCTGTTAGGGGCCCTAGTCCTCCTCTGAGGGCCCTGGTCCTCCTGTCAGGGCCCTGGTCCTCTTCTGAGTGGCCTGGTCCTCCTCTGAGGGCCCCTGGTCCTCCTCTGAGGGGCTCTGGTCCTCCTGTTAGGGGTTTCAGGGAACAGGGTGGGGACATTTTAGAAAGGCTGTTTGTCCAGAAGCTTGAGCTCCTCTGGCAGCTGGAGGACATTGTGGTTCATGGAGTACCAGAGTTGTGAGCTGGAAGGCCTGGGGGCCCTGGGGGCCCTGGGGGGCCCGGGGCCAGTCAGGCTCCTGCGGCCTGAGGCTGTGTGTGTCCACAGGTGCGCTGCTTGCTCTAAATCTCGTTTCCTTCTCATGGCTTTGAATCCGTCTGAACCAATCAGAGCGCAGGGCCTGTCCTTCACGCGGCCCTCTCAGCCATCCTGCATTCTGATTGGCTGCCGGACCAATCCACCCCCCCACCCCCTTACCTTCAGCCCGGTGATGCCCGGCGGCACCACAGCTTTCATCTACCAGGGGACAGAGGGAGAAGCAGGAAAACTGCATCACCATGAGTGGGAACTATGCGTCCGCGGCGCCCACGCAGAGGTCCACGTCGTTTTTCATTGAGGACATCCTGCTGCATAAACCCAAGCCGCTGAGAGAGGTGATGCCCGCGCCTTTCTGCGGCTCCCTGGCTTCCAGGATGCCCCTCCTGGAGTATGGATACCCTCTGATCCCCACCCCGATCCTGGCTCCGCACCCGCATGCTCTGCACAAGCCGGAGCATCACCAGTACTTTTTCACACCTGGTGAGCACTGCAGGGGGGGGAGTAAAAGAAATCTTTTTATTTTTATTTTCACATAAAATGTTTTTACTGCAGAGATTCTGGTTAAATTTTAAATATCAATGTGCTTTAAAATTATTAGATAGAAATGAAAGGAATTATTTTTAGATGTGATTTTATTCAGTTTGCGCTTCATCCTAAAAACATCCTAAAAACTAAAAACATCCTAAAAACTAAAATTATCCTAAAAACTAAAATTATCCTAAAAACTAAAATTATCCTAAAAACTAAAATTATGATGAAAACTAAAATTATCCTAAAAACTAAAAAAAATCCCATTCCTTTGATCTTCTGACCAGAAGTTGATACATTTTTTAGAGTTTTTCTCTGATTATTTGTTTTATTCTCAGAAACTTGAAGCAGTTCCAGTTTTTCCTCAGAAAGGATCTTTTCTTTTTTTCTTTCTTTTTTTTAATAACTTCTATGTTTGTTGTTCTATGTTTCCTTCACTGGGGTCCGTGCTTCTCTCTACCCTCCATGGGTCCAAAGGGATGCAGATGCCGGCGCTCTTCCAGCATCACGCGGAGCTGCCGGGGAAACACTGCCGGCGGCGGAAGGCCCGGACCGTCTTCTCCGACTCTCAGCTGTCCGGCCTGGAGAAGCGCTTCGAGATCCAGCGGTACCTTTCCACGCCGGAGAGAGTGGAGCTGGCCACGGCGCTCAGCCTCTCCGAGACACAGGTGGGGGGCACGCGGCAGGACAGGCAGAGGCGCGCGCCCAGAGAGAGCGCATTTAAAGCTGCTTTATCTGTATTATTATTTAGCTGTATTATTATTTATGTGTATTATTATTTAGCTGTAATATTATTTATGTGTATTATTATTTAGCTGTAATATTATTTAGTTGTATCATTAATTATCTGTATTAATATTTATCTGTATTATTATTTATCTGTATTATATCTGGAGTCTCAAACTAAAACCTGAATAAACTAAAACAGCAGGTTGGCCAGTTTCTGATCCAACTTGAGGTTTTATATATTTTTCCTAATTTTTTATTCGATTAGAGAGAAACGATCAATTCTCAGATAAAATTTTCTATTTAGACAATAAAATCTATTTAGTCATTTTACAAAATGGAAGGTTTATTTTATCTGACCTCGATGTTTTTTAGCTGATCGACAAAAGCGAAAATATTGCTGAGGAAAACAGAAATAAATGAAAATCATTTAAGCGCTAAAATCTCTGAGATCAATAAAAAGGACGCAAAAATACACATTATATAATTTAATAAAATAACATTATGTGATATAATGATATGTTGTAATAATAGGATATAATATAATAACAAGTTAATGAAGAGAGGGGTATATTTATGGAGCTGCTGGAATCTTTTTGTTTTATTTTTATTGTCTTAGTTTCCTATTATGTTGTTATTTTTTGGGTAGTTTTTATTGTTTTGGGATCCGGGCAGACTTCATCTCTGTCCGCCTCGTTCTCAGGTGAAAACCTGGTTCCAGAATCGGCGCATGAAGCACAAGAAGCAGCTGCGGAAGGCGCAGGATGAGCGGAAAACTCCCGCAGAGATGGAGCGCTGCGCAGACAACTCCAGCGGGGAGAGCGAGCTGAACGACAAGAGCGCAGAGGAGCAGAGGAGGCCCGGCCTGGAGGAGGACTCCTTCCTCCTGGAGGACAACGACGATGACGACGAGGTGGACATCGAGGACGACATTTGCTCCTCAGACCATCTACTATAGGAGCAGCTGTGGAAGATTCCTCCTGCCGAGGCAGTGTGAGATTATTATGGTTACTATTATTATTATTATTATTATTATTATTATTATTATTATTATTGTTGTTATTTTTAATAATATTATTATTATTATTATTATTATTATTATTATTATTATTATTGTTGTTATTTTTATTACTATTACTATTATTATTATTAATATAATTGTTATTCTCTAAAGCTGTTAAATTGCTGTTATTTTTTTGTATTTGTGTATATTTCTGTAAATAGCTCTTTGTAATATAAACGCAGTGTTTTTCCGCTCCTCTACATTTGCACTTTCATCCCAGACAAAAAAACAAACAGAATAAATCTTTAATTGCTCATTTATTTTCTCATGTTTGAATGTAATTTACAGTTTATTCACTTTGTTGGAAAATGTCTGTAAATCTATTGAGACCTTTTTGTTTTTTACTGGGAAATGTCTCTTTGATATCAATAATTCTGTTATTAATCCTTCTGATTCCATCCGTTTGATGTTTCATTTTTAAACATTTTATAGCCTGTTAAAATGTTCCTGTTTATAAACGGAAACCATCGGTGGACTGATGTGTTTCCAAAGCGGGTTTTGTGGGCGGAGCCTCTTCACTTCAATGATCGGCTCATGTTGATTTATTAGATTTTATAGATTTGTTGTCTTTATGATCAAAAACCAGTTTCCAGATGGAATCAGATGATTTTAAAAAATAAGAACCGTTTTAACTTTTTACCTCCTAAATATATAAAATGAATCTGAATGGATCCATTCTCTGGAAATTGGATTTTCTTACCCTGTAAAAATGTGTTGGTTATTTTTGGCTGCAGGGAAGGAATTAAACTTTAAAAGGTTCCAGAAAAGATTTTTATTTGAAACCATTTTCCCTCCTTGATGATTTCAGAGGAATAAAAGCAGATCTTTCTAAAGCTTCACTGGCATTTATTGGTTCTTAGAAAAGTCAAAACCTTTTATTTTATTTTTTCATGATATGAATGTTTGTAATTCACACTAATTCTGCTAAGAACATATTTTAGTTTAATGGACGTTTAACTCCTAATTAAATATTAACACATTTCTAACATCAGAAATAATTCACTAATACTAAATATTTTAAATGGGAATAAACTGATTTAGATAAAAACAAAAGATTTAGTTTGACTCCAGTGGCTCCAATTAATCTGACAGGAAATACAATCAATTTAACCAGCAGCATCCCATCAGCTTCACCCAGTGTTCCCATCAATGCATCAGTTTCACCCAGTGTTCCCATCAA